TAGGAAGAACTTCCTGACAGTAAGAGCTGTTCAACAGTGGAATTTGCTGCCAAGGAGTGTGGTGGAGTCTCCTTCTTTGGAGGTCTTTAAGCAGAGGCTTGACAACCATATGTCAGGAGTGCTCTGATGGTGTTTCCTGCTTCGCAGGGGGTTGGACTCGATGGCCCTTGTGGTCTCTTCCAACTCTATGATTCTATGATTCTATGATTCTTGCAAATGTCCTGGTAGAGCCAGTGTGGTGTAGTGGTTAAGAGCAGTAGTCACGTAATCTGGGTAACTGGATTCGTGTCTCTGCTCCTCCACATGCAGCTGCTGGGTGACCCTGGGCCAGTCACACTTCTCTGAAGTCTCTCAGCCCAACTCACCTCACAGAGTGTTTGTTGTGGGGGAGGAAGGGAAAGGAGAATGTTAGCCGCTTTGAGACTCCTGAAGGGGAGTGAAAGGCGGGATATCAAATCCAAACTCTTCTTCTTCTTCTTTATTGAGCATCCACCCTGATCGCTTGTGGGATGTTTATACATCTTCCTGTTATTCATTCATCTCACACTTTTCAGTGCATTTTCCCCATCGCTTCCCCAACTGCAAAGTAGATTTGTTGTGCTTGGGTTCAATTCCTTTAAATTGTTCAAACCTAAATGTCCCAGTCTGTGCTTAAATCCCTCCCACAAAATATTGGCAGTCTGGAAGTGCCCTAATACAATCTAACCCCAGATAAAACCATGTTATCTCATTCTGCTGCAACCGAATTTTCTTGGACAATCTTTCAGGACAGCCTATGCAAAGAGAGTACAGAGGCTGGATCGCAGTAGTCCCAGTGAGAGATGACCAGGGCAGTATGGGTGACAGAAGCCAGATGAAGCTGGTAAAATGTCTTCCTGGCCAGCAGTGCCACCTTGGCAACGCCAAGGGTATTGCCAGATTCAAGAAAATCTCCAAATGTCCAAGAAGACTTCTTTCTTTTGACGCTTGTGCAAACACACACAGATGCTTGTTTGGAGTGGGGCAAAAGACTTGGCCTGATGGGAGTCATGTGACCCTCTTCTGAAACACAGAATAGAACCTGAAGGGTACTCAGAAAGAGAGAAAATCATTGTTCTCCAGTTTTGCAATGATCTGGCATTACGAAAGCCAGTGAATGGCAATATTGCCAGGAGGATTGAACTGTAACTATTTCATTTTGATGCAGCTGAGAAAATAAATTGTAGGAGACATCTGCTTTGGAAACATATTTGGCACAATAACATTTACACGACTGCTCATGCAAATATCATGACATTTACTTATCAGGAACCTTGTAACCTTACCTAACCCCTGATGGCAGCCATGCTGTTCCTGACCTTGGCTTCTTTTCTTTTTCTTTTAAAGAGACAGCAAAATCTATCTTCTCCTTCTAAGCCATGCTTTCTCTACAGGGTTACAGTCAAGTGCAACATTTTATTAGGCATTTCTCCTACATATTACTTTCTGGAGCAACATCTGTGGGTTGCTGATCCTTCTCAGATTTATGCTGAGTGTGATTTGTAAAAAAGAAAAGAGAGGGAGGGAGGGAGAGGGATTGGAGTGTGTGTGCTCTGCATATTTTTAGGTAAATTTTAAATGCCAAGTTTTAAAAATCGCAATCAGTTACTATTAAAACATATGTTTCATGACATTTCTTTATTTAACTAAATGCGTGCTTAATTATTTAAAATGAAGATTAGTAATGTTTTTTCACATGGAGTCCTTTTGAGTTCACCCATCCATACAGTGGATTTTAAAAGTCCCTGACTGCAGGAATACAAGAAGCTTGGGGGGGGCTTAAAGGGGGAGGGGGACAGAAACAGGTAAAGGACTAGGCATGTTCAGTGGGCACAGAATTTTGACTGACTGTTGGAGGGAAGGGTAGAGGAATGGGGTATCTTGGAAGAGAACGGCTGGTAACGGATTCTTAACAAAAGCACACAACACTGCAATATTTGATGGCACATTCATTTTATTCTACACTACACAAGCCTTTTCCGGAGTGTAGTGGGTGGAATTCAGCACATTGCTAAGGGGATAATTCTGTCAGCATAAGCATTTATTCTTGCCCGATGGAACAGCCCCCCTTCTCCATCACCCTTCTTCTTCTTCTTCTTCTTCTTCTTCTTCTTCTTCTTCTTCTTCTGTTGGGAGCCGCCCAGAGTGGCTGGGGAAACCCAGCCAAACGGGTGGGGTATAAATAATAATAATAAATAATAATAATAATTACTACTACTACTTCTTGGTGAAAGAATCTTAACAGAGACTTAAAATCATAAAACATGCAGCAAAGTAAAGTGTGGAAATATAGGCTAGGTCTATATTTAAAGGTCTAGTTTTTAAAGATCTAGGTATTAAAGTTCTCATATGCCCTTGTGAGTTCCAAAACTTCCCTCCTTCCTTAGCATAGAAAAAGACCACACGTTAGATAAGTTAAAAATGGTTTACTTACAAATTCCCCATGTGGTTTTCCGTACAGCATTCAGAAAATGTTGCACGGGCAGTAAAACCTGATTTAGTTGCAGTGGTGCAAGTTCCTAAATTGTTGGTATAGGAACTCAAGAGTGGTGTGAGAGCCAAGCTTAGCTTCCTCACATGCCGAGTTCATCAGGTAAACCGGGGGAACAAAGGCTTGATTACCTTGTCCCTCCCAAGGTGAGCTAAGCCTGGCAAGACAGTTTACTCTATGGTTTTAATCCCTTCAAGCATTACTGTAATTATCCTTAAGTTCTGGGCATTACACTTCAGAAAGATGGAAATAAATTGTAATGAATTCAAAATGGGGCTGTGATTATGCTTAGAGGGGGTATGAAAAACAAGCTCTACAAGCAAAGGGAGAAACAGCTGAGCATGTTTATGCTGGATAAGAGAAGACTGAGTGGGTTGTATGCAGCTAAATTTTACTCATAGTAGATGTACTGAACTGAATTAACACAATTAAGCTAGATCCATTAACTTCAATAGGCTAAAACTTAGTTGACTACCACCCAATAGCACTCCAAAGCAGCCCCGCCACTTACAAGGGCAAAGACTTGTTCTTTTCTGCTGCAGAAGGTTGGACAAGATCTGATGGGCAAATTATAGGAGGGTAGCTATGGGCTGAGCATTAGGGCACCTTTTTATTGCTAAGAGCAAATTGTCAATGGAACCAGTGACCTGAGATGTGCATTTTCAGGGCCCACCATATTCCTGCAAGAGAGGTTTCTTTTAACTGTCTTTAATATTGATTTTTAAATTGTTGTAACCTGCCCTGGCACCTGCAGGTGACAGGCATGGAATAAATTTAATAAATAATATTTAATACATTATGTTGGTGGCAGTCGTCGTCGAATAGCCCCACTTTTTATGGGCTGGTGTTTTCTGTCATCTCATTCATTCTACTCACCATCAGCTGGCTCTTAATCTCCATCCCTTTTCGCCGAGCCCCTGGCAGCATTAGTGTTGGAGATAATGAATAAAGAGAAAGACGAATGCCTGTCCTGTTGCAAACAGGGTTCCAAGACTTAAAGGGTATAGAGAGCACCCTGACATCCTTAATAGCTCTTTAATTCTTTATAGCCTCTCCATCTTTGCTGGCTGCATGGTCACCATTAGCATCAGCAATTTCATGTGGGCAGTGAGGTGTGTGTAACCTTTCTGGGTTACCTTGATGTCCTTTGCCTAAGCTTTCCCTTTCCAGCAGCCTTCTTGGCAGGATCTGTTTCTATTCATTTAATTAGTTAGCCATCATTGACTGAATAACACTATTGACTGAGATCGCCTTTCCTTAATTTCATTGACTTGAAGGCAACTTCACTTTGGGAAATTTGCACTGGATTATTATTTCTTGACAGTTGAATCTATCAGCAGCAGCACCATCAGCCCTTGCCCATAAATTGTCATAATGGCATGGGAAGGAAATATTTAAAGTAACTAATCTTTCTGTCAGCGTTAATGGAACTGTGGTACAATATTCGGTTGTAATTTAAGCTGCACATTACTTTCCAGAGCAACTGCTTTGCATTGCAGATCCTGTTCAGGCCAGTCTATGGGTGCTAGAAAGCAAAGACAGTTGTATGTGTAAAAAGGGACATGACCGAAATAGCACCACGCATAACATCCACCAAGCTGTGTGTATATATCCTTTACATATATGGACATACGGAGCTGAGCTGTCTTGGATGAGCCCCCTGCAATCGGCTGTGACTGATATTAGCTCTCTAGTATTCTAGGTGGAGGTTTCAGGCAATCAAAATGTATTAACTGGTTAGGATTGAAGTAGGAATGTAAAAGCCCTCTGGATGAAGTCAATGGCCCATTTAGTCTAGCATCCTGATTTTGCAGTGGCCAACCAGTTGCCGATGGGAAGCCCAAAAGCAGGACTTGAGCACAACAGAACTCTACCCACTTCTGATTCCTAGCAGCTTGTATTCAAGGTCCTACTGCCTCTGGCAGTGGAGGTAGAACATAGTCATTGTGGAACCTTCTGCATGAAAAGCTTATGCTTCACCACTGAGCAACTCCTCAGCATCCAAATTATCCCTCAGCTTTCTTGTTATTTGAAATACAGTGGTACCTCAGGTTACAGGCACCTCATGTTACAGATGCTTCAGGTTACAGACTCCGCTAACCCAGAAATAGTACCTCAGGTTAAGAACTTTGCTTCAGGATGAGAACAGAAATCACGCAGCGGCGGCAGAGTGGGAGCAGGAGGCCCCATTAGCTAAAGTGGTACCTCAGGTTAAGAAGTGTTTCAGGTTAAGAACAGACCTCCGGAATGAATTAAGTTCTTAACCCGAGGTACCACTGTAGGTTTGAAAATGTTCAGAGAAGTGCACAACACAGAGTGCACTAACTGCGTTTACATACGCTCAGGTATGGGGGGATAGATTGCAGTAAACTCAGGGGAGCTAACTTCCAGCAAAAAAATATGGGTTGAACCGGTTCTCTTGTTCAGGAGATCGCTGATTGTGATGCCATTAAGAACACATGGAGAACTAAGTGCCGGGCCATTAAAGAACAATTGACGGAGCAAACTGCTATATGCAGCACCTTACTTGGATATGTCTGGAGTCTTGGAAGCTTGACTACCCTATGTTCTCCTACAAATGGACATTGAGCTTTTTTTGGAGGTTCTAGCAGAAGAGTGCAGCTATTGTATACTCTTGACTGAAGAACGCGACACTCCTTCTATCTGGGATGGTCATCCTTTTCCACCAAGCGTGCACCTTTGGGTGGGCTGCACATAGAGCAGTGAGGGAGGAAAGGGACACCTATCTAGCCAGCCAGATCAGTTGATTCAACCCTGGCAATCAATGGGGTGACAGATGTCACAGCCAGATCACCCTCACATCCAGCTGTGTGTTAGCTAGCAGAAGACAATAGCAGAGCTGAAAGGAGGAGAAGGTGGCCAGGATAACAGGGTGTGTGATGTCACACAGAAAAAAGGTATCCCTTTGAAATTTAGAGGTGGAGGAAGAAGGGGGAGGACTCCAAAAGTTGCTGTGAATGCCAGAGCCCTCATGGTAAGCTGGTGAAAGACAGGATGGGAGAGAGGCACAGAGGTATCTGGGAATCCATTGCTGAGTTGCTGTAAAGGATGGGCTTCTCCTGGAGATGTGAATGCTGTGAAATTTCTCTCCTTTGAAAGCTTCTGGTGTAAACGTGTGTCAATAAATCATATTTCAATGACCCTGCAGACTCCACCATGCCTCATTTCTCCCCAGGAACACAAACCCTGGTTGAGTTCTAAGACCTATTGGAATCTGCTGCACCGCTCAGCAGAGATTGGGGTGGCCAGTGGCAATACGTTTTATATCTTAAATATGATTGACCGAGGCTTTAAAATTCACCAGAGGGCTAGGGGAGTTTTGAATTCATGGTATGTATTCATGGCAAATTTGCAGAGTCCTGAGCTCCAAAGACAGATTTAGTGAGCCGTGCCAATGGATGCAGTCCACTGGGAATTCCTCCAACACAAGCTCTATTTGTGACCTTGCAGCTCTCCTATTTATTTTGGCCTGAGATGAGGGAACAGCTTGTAGTGAGAATCTGAGGGAGAGAAAGCAGCTTTATCACAAGGATTTGGGCCAAATCCTGGGGCATCCTTATTAGAAGTAAATTTGAATACCCAGAACAAACAACGACATAAGAAACATCACTAATTCCTTGGAGGTTTGTCACATAAAATACAGACTTGTAGGAAGCGGGAATCACTTTAGGAGACCAGGCTGGAGAATGGAAGTAGGTGTGTTGCTGTAAATGTTGTGTAGGCAGATCGCCTGACAAGCATTGCATCTCTGTGTATGTGGATGGATGCAATAAACCCAATTGTGGTCTTATTTGCAAGAACGGGTCCTATCTTAACTAGTCTGAGAACAGCAAGAGGGACAATTCCAATAAGGGAATTACTTCCTGTGCAAACATTCCTCAGGATTGCAGCTGCAAAGGAAAGGTTTAAATTCCCACCAACTCCTGTTGCAATCTTGATCATAATGCGACACCCTCTCCACCCCATGGCTGCTGTTTGCATTCAAAGTCATGTGCAAATAGGGCAAAGAGGCATTAAACATCATGTCAATTTGGCCCTAGCGTGATACAAAATAGTAAGAAGTTGATTACCTGTGTCCTCAACCAATTTTGATGGCGAGGAGTGTGCCAAAACCCATGTAGCAGTACAGTGGGCAGTTAATACCTATAGGTGGGCTCATCTGCCTTTCAGAGGTATTGTGAAAAGAAGGTGAAACCCTGGTGGTCCTTGCATGGCAGTTTTGACTGTTAAGATGGCTGGCTGGAGTTAGAGGCTCTAGGCCTCAGTTGTCTCATGCATTAAAGGAACAACAACAACAACAACAAATCACTAAAAATTTGTACCAAGAACACCTCTGGCTCTCTCTTACAACAGTCAGGAAGTTATTGTGGAATCATATCTGGAGTGCTTTAGATAGTGTCAGGGCAGGAGTTAAGTGTGGGTCAGCAATAAAGGGTGCCAGTGAAGTTTAACACTTTATTCAAGGAAACAAAAACACAGCTTGGCCTAGTAGCCTCAGAAACCCTTCCCGTTAGGTCTTGCCCTGTGGAGCAGTTGCTAGTACTGAAGGTCCCCACATTCTACCCCTTGTTAAGGCTCCCCCTCTCGAGGATATTTCCCAAACAGTCTCAAACTATGTCTCTGACCCCTGTTCTGCTCTTCTCATTACTCTGCCGCATTCTTGGAGACCAGGGAGAAAGGGAACTTGTTGCAGCAGGAGAGGGAGACTACCTGCATTCTTCAGTTGTCTCTAGACACGCACCTCTCCAGCCGCTGAGTCGGCCTCAGAGTCTGAATTGCTCCCTGCCACAGGCTCTTCCTGCTCACTGAACCCTGTTGTCTCTTCAGCATCCAACAGCCCCTCCCACCAAGGCCTCTCCCTCTGACCACTCCTCAGTGTCCCACCACCAATCCCTGGGCTCCGAGCCTTCCCTGGGGGTTCCCCAACTGATGCCTCCCATCACTCCTCTGCATCCAGCCAGCCCATGACAGATTGTAATTGGCACTCGCATGCAGAGTACGGAAGAAGACCAATAGAGGAAAGCAGGTGGACATTTTCCCTGTTTAGGTATGTGCTGTTCACAGGTAGCACCAACATATGAGCGAAAAGCACTAAGTAGCTCCTCTGCACATAGGATGCGAATGTCTGAAGGGAGGAGGAAACGTTTGCATGCACGACATTCAAGATTATGTGGAAACCTATACAGTGTATATGCAAAGGCTTCCTCCTCTCTCCAGACAGGGGAAAAATGAGATGGTAACAACAACAACAACAACAACAACAACAACAACATAATAATAATAATAGTAAAATAATAAAAATAATAATAACTATATGCAAAATTTATGTGAACCATGGTCCTCTTTGCTCCCCCTTTTGATGATGCACCCTCCCCCCCTTTAAGCAATGCATAAATGAAGATGGCACTGGAGGGCAAGGGGGCAATTCTCCAAAGCCCTCCACAGGGGAAGCAGGGAAACATACTCGGAGTTGAGAGTGGATTTCATGCTCTTTATTCAGCTCATAGTGGTGAGGAGGGATGGAAGTTCCCCCAGAATGTCTGCCTTATATACATTATTTACACAATGGGCCCCACGTGATTGGCTAATTCCGGAATTCTCCTGTAGGCCAATCAGGTTGCGGATTCACTTCCACCTGGAGCTGGATTGGGTGGCTCCTGTGGACCAATCAGACTGCTGCATTCTGGATCCTATTGTTCTAGGACCAATCAGACTGCTGCCTTTTGGATCCTATTCAGCTCAGTACATAACACCATGCCAGGCTTTAAGTGTATTGTTGGACATGTTTTCTCTGTCTGTCTCTCTCTCATACATACATACATACATACATACATACACGCACACTTCCTTTTCTAATTTCTGTTATTCACAGTTGAAAAGTAGTGTCTGGTTTCCTTCCCCCACATCATCAATTCTGCCCAGGACTGCATAATGTGGGCTCCTTCTGCCTTCTACAACTGTGAGGCTTGTCTCTTAAGGACTCCTGCTGGCTGCATTGAGTCTCCTTTGCACTTCGAAGTCTGTGGCCTTTTGTACCTTTCATCTCCTCTTCCCCACCCCCTGCCTGCCACCTCCTGGAGTTCTCTATTATTTGCTCATTCTCAGCTGCTTTCCCTGTCAGTGCCCCCCCCCTCTCGGCATCCAGTTAATAACCAGGCATACCACTTTGGACAGGGACTTTATTTGCTTCTGTTATTCTTCTGATGATAAAACAGTACCATGCATATAGTTAGCTGCTACAGTCATAATAAAAAGAAATAATGAATACATGCTATCTTTGCAAGCTGACTGATGCTGTGAGGTGAATTACTTAATTTTGTACGCTATTAGTCATAGCCAATTTAAGACTAAAGGGGACATCTGCGTGGGCTTGTAAACCCATAGCTTTTGGCTAAGGGCCAAACTTCATGTGACAACCCTGTGCACACTTGCTTGGCAACAAATCTCATTGAACTGAACAGGGCAGACTTCTAAGTAGGTATGCATAGGATTGTGCTGTAAATGTGTGTAGGCAATTAATGTGCATATTTATTATTACTGTATTATTATTATTTTTAAAAATAGCAACCATGGAGGGGACAGGGTTGGGACCAAAGGCTTCCAAACCAGGGCTAAGGAAGTTCAGGGAGAGGGATATTCCGGCCCTGGTCTTGAGCCTGTTTGAGCTCAGCTCTCTGCAAAATGCCTGTTACTTTTGTTGTTTAGTTGTTTTGTTGTTTAGTTGTTTAGTCGTGTCCGACTCTTCGTGACCCCATGGACCAGAGCACGCCAGGCACTCCTGTCTTCCATGGCCTCCTGCAGTTTGGTCAAACTCATGCTGGTAGCTTCGAGAACACCATCCAACCATCTCGTCCTCTGTCGTCCCCTTCTCCTTGTGCCCTCCATCTTTCCCAGCATCAGGGTCTTTTCCTGTTACTTAAAGAAGTATAAATGCACATGATAAATGACTACATGCATTTGATGCTGGATGAAGTTTGGCCCTAACAGAGATTCATAGCCCTTGGTTTTCCTTTTAAAAGGTAAAGGGACCCCTGACCGTTAGGTCCAGTCGCAAACGATTCTGGGGTTGTGGCGCTCATCTCACTTTACTGGCCGAGGGGAGTCAGTGTACAGCTTCTGGGTCATGTGACCAGCATGACTAAGCCGCTTCTGGCGAACCAGAGCAGCACACGGAAATGCCATTTACCTTCCCTCCAGAGAGGTACCTATTTATCTACTTGCACTTTGATGTGCTTTCGAACTGCTAGGTTGGCAGGAGCTGGGGCCGAGCAATGGGAACTTACCCCATTGTGGGGATTCGAACTGCCGACTTTCCGATCGGCAAGCCCTAGGCTCAGTGGTTTAGACCACAGCGCCATCCGTGTCCTATCGGTTTTCCTTTTACTCCTCACCTGTTAACCTTACTGAATGTTGAAATCCCTTTGAGGAAATGAACATGGTGAGAGCTAAAGCATGTGTTTCCAAATTGCCTTTTTGGGGGAGGAAGGGTGGGATATAAATTAATAAATAATAAATAAAATTCTCTTAATGCAACCTTTTGCAAATTCTGGGTGTATCCCAATGCTTATGGGTGGATTGCGCATCCTAATTCATTTCCATCTCAGGTTCCAACACCTGCTCTTCCCAGTCTTCTCCCTGTGACCACTCATCATCATCATCATCATTTTTAATTTGTCTACCGCCTTTCTATCTTACAATACTCAAGGCAGTTTACACGCTGAAGAAACAAAAAATGTACATCTTATAACAATCTAATGCAATACAAAAATGTGATAATAAAACATAACTTTAAAATAGGCAACCT